CAGAATTCCAACCGCACCAACACCACCGGTTTGGACCTCCTCCGAACACACCAACACCACCAGTCTGGACTTCCGAACACACCAACACCACCAGTCCAGACCACCAACCGCACCAACACCACCGGTCTGGACTTCCGAACACACCACCACCACCAGTCCAGACCACAAACCGCACCAACACCACCGGTCCATATCTCCAACTGCACCAACACCACCAGTCCAGACCACCAACCGCACCAACACCACCGGTCTGGACCTCCTCTGAATGCACCAACACCACCAGTCTGGACCTCCGAACACACCAACACCACCAGTCCAGACCACAAACCGCACCAACACCACCGGTCCAGATCTCCAACTGCACCAACACCACCAGTCTGGACCTCCGGCTGCACCAACACCACCAGTCTAGACCTCCGGCTGCACCAACACCACCAGTCTGGACTTCCGGCTGCACCAACACCACCAGTCTGGACCAACACTACCAGTCTGGACCTCCGGCTGCACCAACACCACCAGTCCAGTCCAGACCACCAACCACACCAACACCACCGGTCCAGATCTCCAACTGCACCAACACCACCAGTCCAGATCTCCAACCACACCAACACAACCAGTCTCCAAAGATGGGTTTTCTTCTTTGAACAGGATTTATGACCTAAAACCATGAACCAACTGCACGTCTACAGCGATGAGACGGACCAGAACCAGCAGCTAAATTAAGAGAATTAAACAAAGCCAGTTAATGAAGGGAAACTGGGACATGGCGGGCTGGAAGATTTGGACCAGAACCTGAATCTGCCTTCATTTATGAAAGGATACATCTCCTCAAAGCAGTCGATCTGCGGAGGCTGCAGAATGTCCAGAGCCGACAAAACCTGCAGAGACAAAAAAAAATCTACATTCAGGACGTGATCCAAGCGTACCAGGACCGTGTTAGAACCTCGATCCGGGCCTTACATTGTCATGTTTGAAGAAGCAGAGCATCCTCAGCTCTCTGAAGACTCTCTTACAGGAGACCAGGTTCTGGAAGACGTTGGGCATCTTCTTCAGAGCCACCTTTCGACCGTCCCGAGGATCGGTGACCGACCTGCAGAACCACGAGGAAATTCAACCATCCTCAAAAGTCAACACCAAGCTTTAAACAGTTCTGACGTCAGGAGGTTAAAATCTGATCTGACGGAGGAGGATCTGACACAAATTACAGGTCCTTCTCAAAAAATTAGCATATTGTGATAAAGGTCATTATTTTCCATAATGTAATGATAAAAATGAAACTTTCATATATTTCAGATTCATTGCACACCAACTGAAATATTTCAGGTCTTTAATTGTTTTAATACTAATGATTATGGCATACAGCTCATGAAAACCCAAAATGCTTGTCCCAAAAAATTAGCATATCATGAAAAGGTTCTCTAAACAAGCTATTAACCTAACCATCTGAATCAACGACGTAACTCTAAACACCTGCAAAAGATTCCTGAGGCTTTTAAAAACTCCCAGCCTTGTTCATTACTCAAAACCGCAATCATGGGTAAGACTGCCGACCTGACTGCTGTCCAGAAGGCCATCATTGACACCCTCAAGCAAGAGGGTAAGACACAGAAAGAAATTGCTGAACGAATAGTCTGTTCCCAGAGTGCTGTATCAAGGCACCTCAGTGGGAAGTCTGTGGGAAGGGAAAAGTGTGGCAGAAAACGCTGCACAACGAGAAGAGGTGACCGGACCCTGAGGAGGATTGTGGAGAAGGGCCGATTCCAGACCTTGGGGGACCTGCGGAAGCAGTGGACCGAATCTGGAGTAGAAACATCTAGAGCCACTGTGCACAGGCGTGTGCAGGAAATGGGCTACAGGTGCCGCATTCCCCAGGTCAAGCCACTTTTGAACCAGAAACAGCAGCAGAAGCTCCTGACCTGGGCTACAGAGAAGCAGCACTGGACTGTTGCTCAGTGGTCCAAAGTACTTTTTTCGGATGAAAGCAAATTTTGCGTGTCATTCGGAAATCAAGGTGCCAGAGTCTGGAGGAAGACTGGGGAGAAGGAAATGCCAAAATGCCAGAAGTCCAATGTGAAGCACCCACAGTCAGTGATGGTCTGGGGTGCCATGTCAGCTGGTGGTGTTGGTCCACTGTGTTTTATCAAGCGCAGGGTCAATGCAGCTAGCTATCAGGAGATTTTGGAGCACTTCATGCTTCCATCTGCTGAAAAGCTTTATGGAGATGAAGATTTCATTTTTCAGCACGACCTGGCACCTGCTCACAGTGCCAAAACCACTGGTAAATGGTTTACTGACCATGGCATTACTGTGCTCAATTGGCCTGCCAACTCTCCTGACCTGAACCCCATAGAGAACCTGTGGGATATTGTGAAGAGAAAGTTGAGAGACACAAGAACCAACACTCTGGATGAGCTTAAGACCGCTATCGAAGCATCCTGGGCCTCCATAACACCTCAGCAGTGCCACAGGCTGATTGCCTCCATGCCACGCCGCATTGAAGCAGACATTCATGCAAAAGGATTCCCGACCAAGTATTGAGTGCATAACTGAACATGATTATTTGAAGGTTGGCGTTTTTAGTATTAAAAACACTTGTCTTTCATTGGTGGGATGAAATATGCTAATTTTTTGGGACAGGCATTTTGGGTTTTCATGAGCTGTATGCAGGGCAGCACGGTGGCGCAACTGGTAGAGCTGCTGCCTCTCAGCGAGCAGGTCCTTGGTTCAAACCCCGGTCCAGGGGCCTTTCTGGGTGGAGTTTGCATGTTCTCTCCGTGCATGCGTGGGTTTTCTCCAGGTACTCCAGTTTCCTCCCACAGACCAAAAACATGCATGTTAGACTGATTGGTAATTGTCCCTAGGTGTGAGTGAGAAAGTGAATGTTTGTTTGTCTCTATGTGTCCCTGTGATGGACTTGCGACCCGTCCAGGGTGTACCCCGCCCCTCGCACAGTGATTGCTGGACATGGGCACCAGCGACCCCCGTGATCCAAAATGGAACAAACGGGTAAAACTGTAGTATGCTTTTCTTATAACTGTTTATTGTTGTTGCTGTTGTCCATTGTTGTCATCTTTCTTTGTTGAAATCAGGTCTCTCTTGTAAATGAGTCCTCGGGGCTCAATGGGATTTACCTGTATAAATAAAGGTTGATTGAAAGATAATGGATGGATGGATGGATGAGCTGTATGCCATAATCATCAGGATTAAAACAATTAAAGACCTGAAATATTTCAGTTGGTGTGCAATGAATCTGAAATATATGAAAGTTTCATTTTTATCATTACATTATGGAAAATAATGACCTTTATCACAATATGCTAATTTTTTTAGAAGGACCTGTACAGTTGTCCCTCTCTACTTGGCAGTTCGACTTTTGCGGACTCGCTGTATCACAGTTTGTTAACGCACATTAACATATTTTACAAAAATGTGTACAGGACACGATGGTCAGCTTTAATATTACTCGCGTGATTGGAACATTGTGGGATACTGTACAGCACAAAGTTAACGACAAAATAAAATACTTTGGACAGGCGCGGCCATTTTGTAGTTTTCTCTCAGTAAGCCTCCACTGTTTCCCTGCTCATAACAACTACATTTCCCAGAAGCCAACAAGGTCCCGCCCAGACACCCCGTTTTCTTCTGCTGAACAACTAGAGGGTTAGTTTTGATCTGATAGGAAAAAGTTTGGTGCTTATTACTGTGACTTCGGCACACAGTGGATGCAGAGAGCAGCATGAACCCATCGAACCGGACCAGAACCAGACCTCAAGATCCACTGGAGAATCTTGAGAGCTGGTAGCTGGCCCACAAGGACTTCCAACCAGGGACGCACCGCTGTAGGTCTGGCGCTCCATCCGGAGCCTACCAGGACTTTTTTCATCTTGCGGGTCAGACCAAAACCGAGCTGCTGCTGTTCTGCAGAGCCTGGTATGTAAAATTTAGTAGCTACATATACGTATGTTGTTAAAATGACATAGGTTTAAGAGTTTAGAACATTGCAAGAGTGTGGCAAGGGTTTCTAAAGCCTTAAAATATATAAATATTAAAATAAATATTACGTTGTTACTTCGTGGTTTTTCATTTATTGCAGGGGGGGTCCGGAACGTAACCCCTGCAATAAAAAAACCGGGACTACGTAGTCAAAAAATTAAAAACAATTCAAAGTTTTTAGATACTTTAACAGAAACAGAGAACTGTAATTACCAAACGACCCCAAATGCACCATAACCAATGGGTCGGTCCGGCTCCATCTCTGCGGGGCTGGGAACCTCGCTGGCCGGGTTGCTGTAGGGCTGAGGCACCGCCGCCCCGCCGCCGGCACTTCCTCCGAGGGCTGTGGGGTGACGAGGGGTCCCGGCCGGGGCGATGGGTCCGTTCAGGCACGGCGTAGCGCTAAGGCCGGTGGAGGGAGCGTCGCAGGAGGAGCCCACGCAGAAATACTTGTGACTCAGCACAGAACCTGGAAAGAGATCTCCACAAACTGCCTGCTGGCCGGTGCCGTGAAACGCCATCCTTCCTCTCAGCGAACCCACAGACAGCCGTGGATCTGAGAGTGACTCCGAGCTGATGCTGCTCCCGATCAGAAACAGAGGAAACGCTCACTCATCATCAGCTTCCTGCAGGAAGAAAGACAGAGCTTAAAGTGTCCCAGAACCTCCAGGTCCGATACTAAAACACATGAAGAGCAGCAGGACAAGCACGCAGCATTAAAGATCACACGATGCTTCAAAACAACGCTGTTAGTCGACTTTAACTCATCTAAATGAGTCTTATTTCTGTTTGAGAAATCCAAGATGTTTTCTGAATCACAGCAGACTAAATCTGTCCATGTTGCTTTTTATTTAAATTTACAGAAAACGGCTGAAAGCGTGGGATTCTGGACACTTTAATCCTCTTCACTCCTGTAAATATAAACAACTGTTTTGGACCTTTGTTGTTTATCCCTTTACTTATAAATTATATGGTAAAAAATAAAGCTTTAGAGTCCAGTCTGGGTGTTGTTGTCAGCTCTGATGTGTATTAAAGATATGTCAGGTGCTTCAATCCTCTGAATATAAACCGTTTCACTTTACATACAAAGATCAGCTGAGCTGCAGCAGGTGTAACACCACAATATGTCACCCTGATAACTGTGGCCTCTTTAAATGACGTCACAGCATCAAATTGGAGCCGTCACCTGAACAGGTTGATAAACTACAGGTTGATTTGAACAGAGCTTTGACGGACCAACAGACAACACAAACACCAAGGAAACAGCTAAAGCTGCTTACTTCAACCAGCTGCTTTAGCTACCTTTGTTCGCCTTAAGCTGCTCTTACATCAGCTAACAGCTAAGCTAAACCCTTAGCCTCGACAAGCTCCAGACAGAAAAATCACATCAATCGGCTGTTAACCGTAACGTACTTCTAACGATCATTAATAACGTTTATATTACAGATTAGCAGCTAGCTGTTCCGAGCTTCAGCTCCTCCATCGAAGCTGACCCACATTCTGCCTCTCTTACCTCGACCTACAGATTTAATAAAATGTGTTTTAGTGAAAACGTACTGACCGAGCTTTAGTAACGGTTCATGACATGACACGAAAATGCGACTTATGAAGGCGGAACAGCCGACTTGGATGCTCGTCGCCCCGGCTCTCCCGGAGCTAGCTGCGGCTAGCTGTCCATCACGGAGGGACACCCGGCGGCTCGGCGGGCCATGGAGGCGGTGTTCAGGCTTCTCTGGGTGGCGGCTCGTCCAGCTGGGTCATTACACTCAGGTCCTCCACACCAGCCGGACTTCAGGTCGCTTTTTCCGCGACAGCTACAGCTAGCTAGCTGGTTAGCTGCTGGAAGGAGGAGCTGGGAAAGCCGGGTGGGGGAGGGGCGGTGCTTTTTACTGCGCTGTAAAAAACGTAAACCGGTGGAGCTGTCCGGGCGAAGAAAGCAGGGACAGCCCGAGTATAAAAACAAGCGTACCCCAAACACCAGGGTTCACCGAGTAGGACCTCCTGGCCCAAATTAAAAAAAACAAACAACAAAAACAGGCCCAAGAAACGGGTTTGACTGAAGACCAGGGCCCACCTGACAGGTGGACTGCCACTGGGTGGAAAGAACTAGGCCCCCTCCCCAGAAAACCCAGGGAGCCAAAAACTTTGGGCCCCTTGGTTCTGCAGGAATGTGAAAGTATCATAAAGACATCCAACAATTTTCAGTCAGGTCAGCTGGACAGGTTTTTTTTTTTGTACTGAAATGTTTCATCTTCCATCCAGAAGGCTTCATCAGTCAAGGAAACACACAACACAAAACTAATTCTTCCCCCAACAGCTTACTCCAAAGTGGAACAAACCAGTTATGTTGGTGCTAAGATGGTCTCTTTGGCACGCCCCCTTCTCCGGTGCCGGCCCTCTTCTTCGTCAAAAGTCGTGTCAAACTGGTTCAAAACCAACAAAGTCCATGCTCAATAATCCAGGTATACAGTACAATCCAACAATTTTCAGTCAGGTCAGCTGGACAGGTTTTTTTTTTTTTTTTGTACTGAAATGTTTCACCTTCCACCCAGAAGGCTTCATCAGTCAAGGAAACACAAAACTGATTCTTCATCATAAAGACATAAACTGAGAAAACTAAAAAATAAATGACAAAAGTACGACAAAAATTGACCAAACAGAAAACAAAACAAAGTGACTAAAAGTCACAAAACTGTCGAGATACGAAATAAATATTTATCACTACACTGAGAAAAACACATTTTAATGCAAAAAAACTGAAGACAAAAAGTCTAAAAGCATGATTAGAAATGAATGATGTCATGTTTTAGCAGATTAGAGAATGCCAAATTTTAGCAGATTTGAAATTAAAGAACGACATAAAAATTTTAGCAGATTAGAGATAAGAATGATTTAATGTTTTAGCAGAATAGATGAGAAAATGTCATGTTTTCCCAGATTAGTTGAGAATGACGTCAGGTTTTAGCAGATTAGAGATGTCATGTTTTAGTAGATAATGATGTCATGTTTTAACAGATTAGAGATGAGTGATTACGTTTTAGCAATTAGAGATGAATATGTCATGTTTTAGTAGAAATAATGATGTCATGCTTTAGCGTATTAGATATGAGAATGAAGTTTTAGCAGATTAGAGAATGACGTCATATTTTAGCAGATTAGAGAGGAGTGAATGACGTCATGTTTTAGCAGATGAGAGATGAGTGATGTCATGTTTTAGCAGATTAAAGATTAGTGAGGTCATGTTTTAGCAGATTAAAGATTAGTGAGGTCATGTTTTAGCAGATTAAAGATTAGTGAGGTCAAGTTTTAGCAGATTAAAGATTAGTGAGGTCATGTTTTAGCAGATTAGAGATGAGTGATGTCATGTTTTATCAGATTAAAGATTAGTGAGGTCATGTTTTAGCAGATTAAGGATTAGTGAGGTCATGTTTTAGCAGATTAAAGATTAGTGAGGTCATGTTTTAGCAGATTAGAGATGAGTGATGTCATGTTTTATCAGATTAAAGATTAGTGAGGTCATGTTTTAGCAGATTAAGGATTAGTGAGGTCATGTTTTAGCAGATTAAGGATTAGTGAGGTCATGTTTTAGCAGATTAAAGATTAGTGAGGTCATGTTTTAGCAGATTAAGGATTAGTGAGGTCATGTTTTAGCAGAGAGACACTCGGAGCCAGTCGGGACGTCACTGCGTTTAATTCAGGAAGTGGATGAGGCGCTACGCATCATTACAACCATATGACAGGAAGCTACACATCACACGCCGAGGTCAAGACGCACAAATGAGCATCAGAGGAGCACATTCAGAGTTCAGGAAAAGGCGATCCGGTCCGGCTGTAGAAAAGTGTCTATCTGCCATCAGAACCCTGCAGGTCCGGCTCGGACGAACAAACGTCCTCATCGTAAACGAGACTTCATGAAATATAAACGGTTTAAAAACAACAAAACGAACACATGATGGCAGTTAAATCTGAATTAAAAAGATGACGTCTTTGTCTTCTCTGGAGGACGAAGGCGTCTCCTTTCATGTCCAACGTCTCCACCGTCTGAGAGTCTGTCCAACTGATTAGTCGCTCCACAGAAAATTCAGCATTCAGAACAAACAAGGTCCGAACCTCCGCTGCTGGTCCTGGAAAAAAAAAAAAACAGACTGTTTAAAGAGCTCACACATGCAGGGTCAGCCCAGCTGTGGACCCAGACCCAGGTTCACCTGCAGAGACCAGTTCTGCTCATAAAAGGTCCAACATACACAGGTCCTACTGAACAAAATCAAAAGGTGCTGACCCAAAGAGGTTTACAGTCTGAAGCGCCGGTCCGCACTCAATGTAAACAAACACACTTCAGCTGTTTCTGCGAGTAAACAACAACACTTCAGCTGTTTCTGTAGGTAAACAAACACACTTTAGCTGTTTCTGTGAGTAAACAAACACACTTTAGCTGTTTCTGTAGGTAAACAAACACACTTTAGCTGTTTCTGTAGGTAAACAAACACACTTTAGCTGTTTCTGTAGGTAAACAAACACACTTCAGCTGTTTCTGTAGGTAAACAAACACACTTCAGCTGTTTCTGTGAGTAAACAACAACACTTCAGCTGTTTCTGTAGGTAAACAAACACACTTTAGCCGTTTCTGTAGGTAAACAAACACTTTAGCTGTTTCTGTGAGTAAACAACAAAATTTCAGCCGTTTCTGTAGGTAAACAAACACACTTTAGCTGTTTCTGTAGGTAAACAAACACACACAAGCTGTTTCTGTGAGTAAACAAACACAAGCTGTTTCTGTAGGTAAACAAACACACACAAGCTGTTTTTGTGAGTAAACAAACACACACAAGCTGTTTTTGTGAGTAAACAAACACACTTCAGCTGTTTCTGTGAGTAAACAAACACACTTCAGCTGTTTCTGTAGGTAAACAATCAGGATGACATCATTCCAGTGGGGGTCAGACTGTGCTTGACTCACATCCTGGAAACCTTCAAAATAAAAGACTGTTCTAAGAGTTTGTTTTGTATTTTAAACCCACCTGTTCCAGCTGCTCTGTCTCCGCCTCCTTCTCACTGCCTCCTCCCCCTGGCAGAGTGCTAGCTGTGGGTTTGGGGGGCGATACCGGAGCAGTCAGTAACCAGCAGTCCCACCACGCTCGGGCTGGACACGGTGACGGGAACATCGGTGGTACCCACGGATCCGGTGCTGGTCGGGCCGGGGTCGGGGTCACCCTGCTGGGCGTGGGTGCCCATGTGACCCTGGAGCTGCGTGGCCGTCTTACACTGGACCCCGCAGAGCTGGCAGAGCAGGACCCCGCCGGCCCCCGCCCCACCGAAGGCCCCCCGCGCCCCGCCGCTCTCCTTCCACTCCTGGCCATGATGCTTCTGGGCGTGGACCCGCAGGTAGGTTAGGGTGGTAAAGCCTGGAACAGCAAAGGTCAAAAATAATGTTAGAAGTAGCTTGTCATGTTAGTGCACGTGAGCGTGCATGTGTCCCTGCGGCCTTACTGCGGTTGCAGAGGTGACAGGCGTGGTGCTGCGCCTGGTTGTGGACCCTCATGTGGTCGGTGATGTACGCCGCCGACAGCAGCTTCCCACAGATGTGACACGGCACCTTCTCCTCATGACGGATCAGGTGCGCACGGAGGCGGTCCCGCGTGGCGAATGCCGACGTGCACGTCTGAAACACGAGGAGACACGTCTGCAGAAGTCTGAAGGTGAATGTTTTTCTGTGAGTAAAATAAATGTTTTTGGTTCAAGTTACTCTGTGGAGAACAGAGGGAGGCGACGCAGAGCGAAGGAGGAGACATTTGATTTATTGTTTACAACACTACTTTTATCTTAACTGCACTTTTACTGGATTTTCTTGTTGTCGTCTGTACTTTATATGTTCTGTCTGTAACAGGTCTTTCTTGTAAATGAGTCAGCATGGTTCAATGAGACTAGCCTGTATAAATAAAGGTTGAATGAATTTAATCACCACCAGGAGCAGGGGACTGACTTATTGTTCACGTCATCATGCTCACAACAAGCGTGGACGCTGAACTCTGCGCCAGGGAACGGCTGACATCCAGGAGACTACAAACAAACTGAGACCAACGAGGGACGTTTACGTCCCATTTTCAGAACATAACATGACATGACAAGGACGTCCCCATCCTGTTGGACACCTGAAGACACAATAAGACCTGGAAGTGTCCTCATCGTCAGAACCTTTAACAGGAAGTGAGACCAGACAGGAAGCATGCTGGTTTCATTCAGTCTGACAGGAACTAAAGTGGACTTTAGAACATGTGGATGTTCTGGTTCTGATGGGGTGTTCTCGTTCAAGAGGAGAAAACGTGCGAGGTTACCGTGCATTTGAACGGTCTCTCGGTGGAGTGCACCTGTCGGACATGACTGTTCAGGTGATCCGGCCTGAAGGACAAGAGGACAACTTCAGTCAGCCCGTCCTGTAGGTCCACAGAACCACCAAGTGAGACGTGGCCTGCCACGAGGCTCACCTGGAGAAGGCCTTGGCACAGTGCGGACAGATGTAGGGTTTCTCCACGCCGCCCTGGTGCGAGCGCACGTGGTAACTCATGCGGTCCTTCCTCTTGAAGCGCTGCTGGCAGATGGGACAGGAGTACGGCTTCTCGTCCGAGTGGGACAGCCGGTGGCGATTCAGGTGGTACACGTCTCTGAAGGCCTTCCCACAGGCCTCGCAGGCGTGGTTCTTCCTCACCTGGTTGGCACTCGGGAGGGGGAGGGGGTTCTGTGGGGACAGGAGAACATGTTTTTATGATTCTGACGGGTTTTTGATTGAAATAAATCTTAATGTGTCAGAAAGTCTGTCCGGTTTCCAGAGAACTGGACCGAGTTTCTGTGCTGAATCAGAACTGGACCGGGTTTCTGTGCTGAATCAAAACTGGACCGGGTTTCTGTGCTGAATCAAAACTGGACCGGGTTTCTGTGCTGAAACGGTCGTTGTTGTCGTGATGCTTCTGGGCCAGTTCAGGTTCTGATCAGGACCAGACTTTACAGAAGTCGTCACTGGTTGTGACTTCTGGAACCTGATCTGTTACGACTTCTGATTCATTTTAATACAAAGGGATCAAATCTCGTGAAGCGGAACCTCAGAACCGGGTTTTCCTGGTTCTCCTGTCAGACCCACCTGCTCCACAGAACCGACGACGACGACGGCTGCCTGGATGGGCTGCGGCGGAGCCAAGGTCACCGTCGCCGGGGCTATGGACACGGAGATGGGTTGGCCCTCCTGGTTGGTCAGCTGGATGGGCTGGGGGAGGGTCTCCAGGGTGATGGGAGGCGGAGCCTGAGGGGGCAGGGCGAGCTGAAGAAGGGACAGGGGGATGGTCTGTTTCTCCAGCCGTCCCCCTTTGGCTACGTCCTCCTTGTCCCGCACCACCCGGTCCTTCATCTTGATGCCAGTGTGGACGGACTGGTGCCGCCGCAGGTTGTAGCTGTTCTTGAACTCCTTGTTGCACGTGGCGCAGATGTGGGCGGGCCGGCTGGGTTTGGGGAGGGGCTTAACTGACGGACAAAGGACAGACGAAGAGACATTTTAGAAAGACATTCCTGGATCAGGACTGTCAGGTTGTCTCGGTGTCTTCCTGCTGTTTGAAACTCACGAAACAGAAAAATAACTTTCAGAACATTTTGTTCGAACTTCAGTTTGTAGTAAAACAAGAATTTGACCTGAACTGTGGAAAATTACATTTTTACAATAAGTGGACGCCTGAAGGTATCGAACCGTTGGCTTTGTTACAATGTTTAATCATCTGCTCCAACATGGCGGCAGCTGAGCAACAAACAAAGTGAGGAAAGTCAAACTTTAACATTCAGACAGTTGAAGTCTGATCATCAGCTCGGTGCTTCAATCTTAGGTCCGACCAGTCCTTACCAGGCAGCGGCTCCTCGCTCAGCGCCGCCGTGTCCACGGTAGACGGCGGCGTCACGATGTGCTCCGCTGGAGGACTCTGAGCCGGGCCCGTCAGCTCAGGAAGCAGCTCGGACTGGAGCGGCGTCTCAGGTTGGGTCTGAGTCGGCGCCGCCTGCAGAAACATCTGGATGAGTCCAACAGAAAGCAGAACCTTCACAGAACTCAACGCTCAGATTATTAACGCTACGATCATCCAGGCTCTGGTTCTGGACCCAGGTCTGAGGGGCAGCAGCTGGATCAGGGAGGTCCAGACACCTCCTCCAGATGTCCTCAGACCAGCGTGTCCAGGGTCTCCTCCCAGCTGGACATGTTCAGAACACCTCCTATGGAGACTCCTGGGTCCATCCTGACCAGATGCCTGAACCACCTCACCCCCTGCAGGCCTCTCAGACCCACCCCCACCCACCTTGCAGGACTCTCAGCCCCCCTCCCCAGGAAGCAGCTCCCTACCTGAAAGAGGAAATTACTCCAGGAGGTGTCCATGATGCTGAGGGTCTGACAGCCGCCTGGGACCAGGGGGGAGGAGGGGGCCCCGGAGCCCGTGGGGTCAGCCGATCCGAGGCTCCTGTACCTGCCCGGGTCTGAGCCGCCTCCACCACAATCAGCGCCTTGTCGGTGCTGACAGCCCGCAGACTCTCGGATCACGAGCGGTTTCTGTAAATGAACAAAATGGTTGGTGTCACGATGTTGTCTTTAATACAAGCTGCTTATGTCTACTGGAATTAAAACGAGCTGCTAAACGGAGATTATGGTGTCGGTTAGCGGTCGGAACGTGCCGGTTCTCTTCTCGGATCATTTATGCTCGGTAGGTCCGGAAAGGCCGCCGCTGCGGGATCCAAGCCTCGGCGTTGCGTACAGCTCCTCCCCTCTCTAGAGGGCCCCCGGTCGGCCGCGGTGCGTGGCTCCGCCTCGGTGTTTCATTCGGAGGATGACATCTTTCTGTTTTTTTTAAGCCCACCCTCCCTCTCTGTCTTTCTTCCTTTTCTTTTTTTAGCTCCTCTTCACCCCCTCTGTCCCGCTCCGCTTTAAAGGGAAAGGGTTTAGCTCGCGCACCCCCCGCGCGGACCCCGCCTCGTGCGGCGCAGCCGCTGCTCCGTAGGCCGACAAATAATTTTATCCGACACGTACCGAATCCGCGCGCTCCTCCTCGTGTAAAGTAAACAAAATGTCCACCGCTGGTTGTTAGGAATGCACTCGTTCGAACGGTCCGGACCGCGTTCGCCGAACTCTTGGCTAAAATGGAGTCGGGTTTAGATAAAATGAGGCTTTATCCCGCGAGCATCTTAAAGGTAACGATTCGCGCAAGTGCAACAGCTGGATCAAAGCGCCGCCGCAACCATGACGTTCATCCGAGTCCCGCTCACCAAACTCTGTTCAAAAAATGTATCGTTTGGTTCGTGTTTATCAGCGTTGGTTAATGCGACAATACTTGTCTCCCCATATTCCGCACAAAGTATGAATTTATTTGGGCTTTTATAAAATAAAAAGCAGCGTTGTTATCGCTAATCATTTTAATAAAAGGCTAACACGTCCTGCTGATGTAATGCTGAAACCAAACTTGTGCTCACCAAACTCCATTCAGAATTTGGCTAATTTTAGATCCTGTCGTTTTGTCCAAGGAAACAAATGAACTAAACCTTTTCCTGTCATTCTGTATCAAACGTGCATTAATTCATCTTGTACAAAAACACAATAAACATTTTAATTGCAATAAAATGCTGACACTTTTGGTAATAATTGCATTTAAAGCATATTCACCAGATTTTTTTAATACTGTAATCTTAGATTTTAGAAAATCCAAGAGAAAATTAGAGGATTTTAGATTTTGTAATCCTAGGAACCAGCCACCATCGAGCACAAGCCAGTGTATCTTGTGTCGGTCCCAAGCCTGGTTGTGTCAGGAAGGGCATCCAACGTAAAACAGTTTTTTTCTGAAAACTGTAATGCAGGTCATCAAAAGTGAAACCATACGGGATCGGTCAAGGCCCAGGTTAACAACGACCGCCACCGGTGCTGTTAACAAACAAACCAGGCAGGTGGGAACTGTTGCCAGGGTGAGCGAGGAGTTAAAGATGTCGGCCAGCACCTCGCAGAGCTGATCGGCACAGTCTTTCAGCACCTTCCCCTGGATGTTGTCTGGGCCAGGGGCGACATGGGGCTTAAAAGAGAGATGTAAATCGATCAAGATACCCAAGTATTTATAATAGTCCACTAACTCAATAGGAACACCATTCAAAGATAAAATAAAAGGAAGGACTGCTGGGAGCAACTTCCTGTTTGACGATAACGTCCCTTTGGTTTTATCAGCATTTAGCACAAGTTTGAAACGGAACAAATCTGACTGGATGATGTCGAATGCAGATTGTAAAAGCTGGAAAACCTTAGCAACTGTTCTAGCTCAACAGTAAACAATAGCACAAACCGGATTCCAAGAAAGTTGGGACACTAAACAAGTTGTGAATAAAAACTGAATGCAATGATGTGGAGAAGGCAAATGTCGATATTTTATTTGTAATATAACATAGATGACAGATCAAAAGTTTAATCTGAGTAAATGTAACATTTTAAAGGAAAAATATGTTGATTCAAAATTTCACAGCGTCAACAAATCCCAAAAAAGCTGGGACAAGTAGCAATAAGTGGCTGGAAAAAGGAAACAATCGCTGTGCGTAAGGGTCAAGGCCGAAAAACTCTACTGGATGCTCGTGATCTCCGGGTCCTTAAACGTCACTGCACCTCAAACAGGAATGCCACTGTCAAGGAAATAACAGAATGGGCTCAGAAATACTTCCAGAAAGCATTGTCAGTGAACACAATCCACCGTGCCATCCGCCGTTGCCTGCTGAAACTCTACAGTGCAAAGAGGAAGCCATTTCTAAGCAAGCTCCACAAGCTCAGACGTTTGCACTGGGCCAGGGGTCATTTAAAATGGAGTGTGGCAAAATGGAAGACTGTTCTGTGGTCAAATGAGTCACTATTTGAAGTTCTTTATGGAACACTGGGACGCCATGTCATCCGGACCAGAGAGGACAAGGATAGCCCAAGTTGTTATCAACACTCCATTCAGAAGCCTGCATCACTGATGGTATGGAGTTGCATGAGCGCTTGTGGCATGGGCAGCTTGCATGTCTGGAAAGGCACCATTAATGCAGAGAACTATGTTCAGGTTCTAGAACAACATATGCTCCCATCTAGACGTCATCTCTTTCAGGGAAGACCCTGCATTTTTCAACACGATAATGCCAGACCACATTCTGCAGCAATCACAACATCATGGCTAAGTAGGAGAAGGATCAGTACCCGGATACCCGGCCAGCGTGCAGTCCAGATCTTTCACCTATAGAGAACATTTGGCGCATCATAAAGAAGAAGGTGCAACAAAGAAAGCCCAAGACGATTGAACTTAGAGACCTGTATTAGACATGAATGGGAGAGCATTCCTATTTCTAAACTTGAGAAACTGGTCTCCTCTGTCCCCAGACGTCTGTTGAGTGTTGTAAGAAGAAGGGAGGATGCCACACAGTGGTAAAAATGGACTTGTCCCAACTTTTTGGGGATTTGTTGACGCCATGAAATTTGGAAACAACAGATTTTTCTTTTAAAATGATACATTCTCTCAGTTTAAACTTTTGATCTGTGATTTGTGTTCTATTCTGAATAACATATTAGATGTTGGCACCTCCACATCATTGCATTCAGTTTTTATTCACAATTTGTTTAGTGTCCCAACTTTTTTGGAATCCGGTTTGTATCATCAGCATAGAAATGTAAGGATGCATCAGGGGTGCTCTGACCTACATTACTTATGTAGAATGTGAAGAGGGTGGGTCCTTAGACTGAGCCTTGTGGTACACCATTATTGACTGTTGAATAACTGGAGCAAGAAGAAGGTGCCCATCATTTACACATTTTTTGGGGGATTGTCAAGCCATCCACCAATACTGGTCTCAGATTCACAAACATTTACAGAATGTTTTCTCATCTGATTTTCCTTTAACTTTTGAAAGCATATTTTGTGTAACGTACCGGTGGACAGTTTGAATTCTAATGATAAACTTTTATACATTTTATTTGCTGCAAGTAAAAAGGCCCTCAATGAGATGGCTTAAACCTGAAGCACCAAGAATTGAAGACTGGATTAATGTTGTGAAATGGATCTATACATTGGAACAACTGTCATTTTCTGTCAAAGTGCAAAGAGACACTTTCCATAAAATGTGGTCAAAGTGGACAGAATATGTCAAGCCTGTTAGATCTGATTGTCTATAAACCCTGCTGTCATATAGGTTGGTGCAGTAATTTGATTAGCGATATCAATGACGTGATTGTATTTTGGCTACCCCGCCACCCCCATTCAAGTTTTTGTTTGTTTGTTTTGTTTAGGGGAAAAAATAAAACAAGAAAGCAAGAGTAATGTAATATAATTATGTTATTGTAATATAACACATGCTTTCTCAATAAAAAGGTTAATATATATTAAAAAAAATTAACTGGAGGAAATACCATTACAGGTAGCACTTTTCTATTTTATCAAGATACTCAAAGCTCTTTACACTACAATCTGTGCCCTCATTTACCCATTCATACAACACTCTACTAGATCTTTACAAAGACTAATAAGAGCTTTATCACATTCATACACTGATGGGACACACATCGGAGGCAACGAGGAGTTCAGTGTCTTGCTCAGAGACTAGGGCTGAACATTTTTTGTTTCAGTTACGATAATATCCCGATATGATAAAACACAATTTTCTAATCGCAAAGGCTGCGATTAATCTGGTCACGTGATCTGGTTACTTGACTTGCGAGTGAGCGAAGTGAAGCAAAGCAGGGCAGGGGACAGGAGAAGTCAACACGGCGCTTTAACCGGTTGCACAATGGCGTCAGGCTCGACAGAAGCTGACACATCCGAAAGTTTGGTACCAAAGAGGGGCAGCAAAAAAGAAGACGCTGCGCAACGACACGTGTTGTGCAAAACATGCCTTGCTGTTTTTTCTACCTCTCGAGGTAACACCACAAATCTTTATCAACACTTAAAAGCAGGTCGCCTACTGGGCTGGAATACGTAAAGACGTTACTGATTACGTGAAAGCATGTTCAAACTGCTGTCAGTCTCAAACAATCAAACGTCGTGCGGGGGAACTACAACAAGAATTCCTTGAAATTCAAAAACAACTACATCTACAACACGTTGAACTAAAATTCTTAGGGAAAATCTCTAGAAGTGTGGTCCACATCAATGGTGTGATATTCTGTCATCTAGATACAGGACAGTATCGTTGCAACACTGACAATTCTACGTTTTTCAACATGATCTCCTTCAAACTGGACTCAAACATGGATGAGCAAATACAGTAGGAAAGCATGAAAACCAATAGCTCATATTAATAAGGTTCATCTCCGAAAATATACTGGTGCCTTTGATATATTAAGAAACTGCAAGAACAAGTCAAAAGAAGCAGACGACTTCTGCCACTTCAGAACTTTAGACAAAAAAGCTAAAGGTTCCAGTCATGAAGAGAAAACTGAGACAAGGGAAATAAAATAACTAAAGCACTAGTGTCTAGTGGGGGTGAGACGTTGAACCCCACTCTAACAAATGCTAACATTAACATCACCAATCTGCATGATCCCTAACCTGGTTGCGCTCCATTTCCTGATGAGATTGTTGAGCTAGACTGAAGTCCAAGTTGTTTTAGGATCCATTTCGATTGTTGTGGGCTAACTGGTTGCCAAGTTTAGTTCTGAAGCCACATTTTGAAAGGGATGCTCAAACACTAACTGCATATTTTACGAGTTCTACTTCAGAAAATTTATCAGAGAAACGTCTCTCATAAATTCTCCCTGAAAAAGCATGAAGAACCATTTCAAATTATATTATTATTATTGCATATTATTGTGCTGCTCAAGGTGGCTGCATGTTGGAGCAGCTCTGTTACTTTCATTCTGAGATTTTGCTTTTGGAAACTTTAATTCCTCTTTGTCTGGATGTAAATCACATTTTTTGGATGATTGTTTCCTCTGGTATCGGATGCTGTGCAGCTGGAAGGATTTTTACTGAAACTTTTATAGTTTTGGACATTTGTTATGATGTGTAACCATAACAACAAGGCAGTTTTCTACAACCAACAGCAGCTGATTAACATCTCAAAAGCTCAAATAATAGCTCAACTACAGCCCCAAATCTCAAATCTCTTGAAAAGGATGTTCTGTGGACGCACTCTCATCTACCTGACAGCTGTGCTCGAGTGCCTGACTACTGAGATTCTGGAACTAGCAGGAAACACGGCTCATGACAGCGGAAGGACAGGATCGTCCTTCGGCACCTACAGTTGGCTGTCCGCAGCGACGAGGAGCTCGGCAGGCTGCTGGGAGTGGCCATCGCTCTGGGAGGAGTTCTGCCCGGCATTCGGGCGGTCCTACAGCCCGGGGGAACCGAGAGGCCAGCCGAGTCTGGGTGGACGGATCGGACGGCATCTGCAGCCAGTTTCTTAGGATCCACTGTGGGATGGACCTTTACAAAACATCCTTCCTGTCTACAGCCATCAGTATCGATAACATCTCTTAATGAAACGAGGATAACGAGTTACAACAAATAATTTCCCTTTGGGATGAATAAAATACTTGTGAATTTTTGAAACACTTTAATCTAAGCTCTGTCCTCATTTTCCTACTTTACTATATATATATATATATATATATATATATATATACACACACAATTAAAAAAAAACTATGAACTGCACCAGTTATAACCTGTGTAAGGTTGCATTTTCATCTGGGTATGCCACCACGATGACCTCTGGACCTTCGTGCCTCCTGCTGATCCAGACCATGGTATCCTTCCTGATGATGACATCAGGACTTCCTCCATTCTGGTTCTTCCTCGAGTTGCAAGTATTCACTGAGAATACTCCCATCTTCATTCCACAGTGCCAACTTCTCCTTATTTTTCTTACACTGAAGTGTGAGTGATGTTACTGACTAGAGATCAGCGAGCTTTATTTTCTTATTTGTACATTTATTTATACTGTCCTGTTAAGTTCAGTGTTTAAGTGCAGTCCACGTTTACGTCATATTTCATGAAACGTGAAAAGTGAGAAATGTTGAAGTGGTAAAGACAGATTTGTTTGCTGTATTGATGTAATTTGCGCTTTTAATAAACCTAATGTTTATTATGAAACTGATCGATTTATTGCTTGTGTTCGTTGTAAAATACATAAGACAATGAAAAATAATTACATATTAAATTGCAACATTGAGGTAAAAAATTTGCAATTAGAATATTTTCCAAAACTCTTCCAGCCCTACCAGGGATACTTCGGCATGTGACTGCTGGTGAAATCAAACCCCCAACTCTTGCATTAGATGAAGACTAACCACTCAGCCACAGCTGCCCTGAGAAGCATCTGGTTTTCCATTAGTAACTGTGTCAAACAAGGAGCTAGTGGCAACAAACGTCTGTTGAAACAGTTCAGGACGTTGTGATGGCAGGTCAGATGAATGAGAGCTGCCAGAATGTGATTTGATGGTTTTCCAGAATCTTTTAGGATCATTTAGATCTTTGGAGGTCTGAGAAAAGTAGTTACGTTTTGCGAGTCAAAGCAATAAAAAACAATTTCCCTTTCAAAACATGCACATATGAATTCGGTGTGGATGAAATTTACAAAAGGAGCATTTTTAAAGCCATTACATTTATTAAATCTTGACAACAGTTTAAATTCCTTTTCTGAAATCAGTAAAGTTACATATCTCATTTTTCTCCAACGGAACAACAAAAAACATCAAAAGTAATAAATTAACCTGAACTCTGGCACCTTAATTTACCAATACAACACAATTTAAAAAACAAACCATTTAAAAACTGTAAATGAAGCTGCGTTTATTTCAATTATACTTTGTGTTTATCGAGTGTTGTAATTTAATTCAGTTCAGTTTACAGAATATCACAGAAGTAAACAATTCCAAAACTCATTTAAAAACACAAACTAAAATATTGTTTCCGTTTTACAGTGAATTTAAATTCATTAAAACAAAATACTTAAATTAGAACATTTGTCTTCAAACTCGTCCTCAGGTTGGCGTTCAGTTTCAGCTCAAACCATCAAATCCACGTGAGGTCGTCCCGTTTCCTGCAGAACGCTGCAGAACGCTGCTGGGTCACGCTTCGTCTCAAACAAAAACACTCAAAATCTGAGCAGCAGCAAAAACAAAAAAAGGTCCGGCTGTTCTAGATGTTAGTTTTCAACCAGATAAAACAAATATTTTATCTTCAGGAAATACAGAAGCAGACAGAGAAAATAAAAAAGCACTTTACAAACAGCAGCCGCTGGAAAATAAGAACTACATTCAGGATTTTATTTATGAAGCTGTTGAATATCGTTCGTGTCCCACGACGGAACCAGAAAAATAAAAAGCACAGAATTCCTTTTCAAAACAAAATGACCTGCAGGAGGTCAGGAGTCTCAAAACTACGAGTCAGATTACAGAACATGAAGGATGAAGACTTCTGCACACAACTGTCCCTCACCCGAGTGAAGGTAAATGGACTTGAAGCATCTACTAAAATAATTGAAGGAGCGCTGCCTGGTGGGAGGAGTCACGCCACGTTGGCTCAAAAACAGAAAACTGGATCTACATCAGGATTATTCCTCAGATTATTATAATTTATTGGGCTCTAAATCAGGACTAATGTGGATTATTATAATTTATTGGGCTCCAAATCAGGATTAGTGTGGATTATTATAATTTATTGAGCTCTAAATCAGGATTAATGAGGATTATTATAATTTATCGGGCTATAAATCAGGACTAATGTGGATTATTATAATTTATTGGGCTCTAAAATCAGGATTAATGTGGATTATTATTTATTGAGCTCCAAATTAGGACTAATGTGATTATTACATTTTATAAGGCTCTAAATCAGGATTAATGTAGATCAATATAATTTATTGAGCTTTAAATAATAATAATAATAATAATAATAATAATAATAATAATAATAATGTCATCACAATGTCAGCACTGTCTGTTTCCATACAATGGCGAAATTAGTCTCTGCATTTAACCCATCCACCACCAGGTGGTGCAGTGGGCAGCTATTGAAAGCGCCCGGGGGGCATTTTGGGGATGAGGCGTGCTGCCCAGAGACGCCACATGATGTGCAGTGACTGGGGATCGAACCTGGGACTTTTGGGTCCCAAGCCGGCTGCCCTGCCTCTACACCATCTCGGCCCCCATAAATCAGGATTAATGTAGATTATTATAATTTATTGAGCTCTGAATGAGGATTAATGTGGATAAATATAATTTATTAAACTCTAAATCAGGATTAATGTGGATAATTATAATTTGAGCTCTAAATCAGGATTAATGTGAATTACTTTTTATAAGGCTCTAAATCAGGATTAATGTGATTATTATTTTTTATAAGGCTCTAAATCAGGATTAATGTGGATTATTATTATTTACTGAGCTCCAAATCAGGATTAATGTGATTATTACATTTTATAAGGCTCTAAATCAGGATTAATCTAATGTGGATTATTATTATTTATTGAGCTCCAATTCAGGATTAATGTGGATTAATGTCATTTTGTAAGTTTCAGGAACGAGAAGCTGGTGTAAAATGGCATATTCTTAGAGGAAAACAAAAAATATACGGTTGTTCTTGTTTGTAATATGAAATAAAACTGGATTTGTGTGCGTGTGTGTTCCCACTGACGGGCCCCTGTGATCCTCCACAGACCCCACGTAGCTTCGCCGCTCTCCTCCTCACTGCTTCTTGGTGCGGTGCGACCGCTCGGCGGCGTCCATGGCGGCCATGTTCTGCGAGGCGGTGACGAGGTGCAGGACGCTGATTCCGGACTTGAGCAGGCAGATGATGCCACAGACTCCCAGCAGCAGGTAGAACCCGGCTGCAACACAGAAACGCCTCGTTTTTACCTCCAAACTGACAAAGATGTCTTCTGTCCACAGGCTGGAGCTGCTGCTTTTTGTCCTTTACCTCTTCCCGTACACAGAACCAGATTCTGGGTCAGATCCATGTAAGGGAAAAGAATGTGGGTCAAAGCTCAGATTATTTTTAGCAGCTGTGAGCGTGGAGGTGAAGTCAGACGGAAGAAGAGGACACGTTTCCAGCGGCGGGTCACCTGGTAAAAACGGTTCCGTTTGCTTCTGAACCTGCAGCTCTGTGGACAGAAGGTTCTGCTGGCCCGGCAGAGGAACACGTTCGAGGTGATTTGAGGACAAAGACGAACTCACCAGCAGGGTTCTCGATGTGATGAAGAACGTAGAGCAGGCAGAAGAAGAGCTCGTTCCCGGCACACATCACGAACAGAACCGGCTGCAGGAAGAACGGGCTCAGTTTGTCCACACACACACACAAATCAAACACACATCAGCCCAGATGTTCACACTCTACCCAGACCTTAGAAGTGTAGTAGATCCTCAGGACCGGGTTCCCAGAGAGGTCGATGGTCTTGTGACTCGTTGATCCTTTGATAATGGAGCTGAAGAACACCAGGACAGAACCGAATCAGTACCAGCACTTTGGGCGGTAAGACACTGAAGAGATGTGGCAGTGAGTGGAAACGAGAATCAAACCTCCTCACAGAGTTTGGGTTTTAAATCAAGAGGACGAAGAAAACAAATATCAGTGCAGAGGTTCTGACTCGGTTACTCCGACCCGGTCACCTGTGCAGGTGCAGCCAGTGGCTGGCGACGTCCAGACACATGCTGAGCTGGAACAGGAATGTGAAGGAGGGGTAGAGCAGCGACAGGTTGACCAGCAGGCACATGGTGGCGCAGCGGTCCGTCAGCATGTCCATCATGGCACCAAACTTTGTGGCTGAAAGAAAAACGCAGGCAGCAGCCTGTCAGGCAGCGCTGAGGGAATAATGCAGACAGCAGCCTGTCAGACAGCAGCCTGTCAGGCAGCGCTGAGGGAATAATGCAGACAGCAGCCTGTCAGGCAGCCCTGAGGGAATAATGCAGACAGCAGCCTGTCAGACAGCGCTGAGGGAATAATGCAGACAGCAGCCTGTCAGGCAGCCCTGAGGGAATAATGCAGACAGCAGCCTGTCAGACAGCAGCCTGTCAGGCAGCGCTGAGGGAATAATGCAGACAGCCTGTCAGGCAGCCCTGAGGGAATAATGCAGACAGCAGCCTGTCAGACAGCAGCCTGTCAGACAGCAGCCTGTCAGACAGCGCTGAGGGAATAATGCAGACAGCAGCCTGTCAGACAGCAGCCTGTCAGACAGCGCTGAGGGAATAATGCAGACAGCAGCCTGTCAGACAGCGCTGAGGGAATAATGCAGACAGCAGCCTGTCAGACAGCCCTGAGGGAATAATGTAGACAGCAGCCTGTCAGGCAGCAGCCTGTCAGACAGCAGCCTGTCAGACAGCAGCCTGTCAGACAGCGCTGAGGGAACAACATTCCATATGAATTGGAAATCAAAAAATGGTAAAAAAAAAAAACTTCAAATAAAAACATAAAAAAATTTTAAAACAGAAGTTTCATATTTTGAAGAGCGAACACTGGACAGTTCTGATACGTACACTGATCCAAAGCCCGAGCAGCGTGCCCATCGAAGGCGTCCAGCAGAGCGCTGAGCAGGTAGCAGAACACCGCGGGCCACGGGCAGCACCGCATCAGGAAGAACGACACCAGAGCCAACAGAACCCGGGCGTAACCTGCAGGACCAGAACAGAACCTTGTAACCTGCAGGACCAGAACCACAATAACCTGCAGAACTAAAACAAACAAAAAAATGTAATAAATAAATAAATAAATAAATCTGAAATTAAATAAAAACGAGACTGTACTGGAGAGTTGGCTGCGTTTCTCAGTTGTACGTTTTTATCTGAATTGTGTAAAACATTGTGATATTTGTGATTAAATCAACAGAGATGTATAATTTTTTTTTTTTAAAAGCCACTGAATTAGAATAAATGAACATTTTATTTTTAACTTTTATAAACTTGTCTGTTTCTAACGTGAAGGTAAAAAACAGGTTTGTTGAATAAAACTAAATTTTTAAATGGTACAATAAGGTCCCCGATAGTTCAGCATCAGGGTTCGGATGTCTGAACCTGTTGAATCTGTTCGTGTTCGAGGTTTTTACCATCAGAACTGTGAAGGCGGCCGCTCGCCAACCTTTTCTTCTTCTACTGTATATCCTAGCTTCACCATGTGACCAGAACAACACAGACACCTAGTGGCTAAAATTGTTACACAGTGAGGAAAATAAGTATTTGAACACCCTGCGACTTTGCAAGTTCTCCCACTTAGAAATCATGGAGGGGTCTGAAATTTTCTTCATGGGTGCATGTCCACTGTGAGAGACATGATATAAAAAAATAAAAAAAAATCCGTAAATCACAATGTATGACTTTTTAAAATATTTTATTTGTGTGTTACTGCTGCAAATAAGTATTTGAAGACCTGTGAAAATCAATGTTAATATTTGGTACAGTAGTCTTTGTTTGCAGTTACAGAGGTCAAAGGTTTCCTGTAGTTTTCCACCAGGTTTACTGCAGCAGAGATTTTAGATCATTCCTCCACAGATCTTCTCTAGATCAGCCAGGTTTCTGGGCTGTCGCTGAGAAACACGGAGTTTGAGCTCCCTCCAAAGATTTTCTATAGGGTTTAGGTCTGGAAACTGGCTAGACCACTCCAGAACCTTGATCTGCTTCTTATGGAGCCACTCCTTGGTTCTCCTGGCTGTGCTTCGGGTCAATGTGATGTTGGAAGACCCAGACACGACCCTCCTTCAATTCTCTAACTGAGGGCAGGAGGTTTTTCCCCAAAATCTCACAATACATTCTCTCTTCCACTCCTCGCTATCAAAGCATGCGCCATCACTTATAGCTGCGTATGGAAGGCCACGCCTGGCAAATATGGATTTTGCATGTGTAATCACAGGTTGATGAAATACTTCACAATAATGACATCTCAGGAACGTTAGAGCACAGTAGTCCCTCATAACTTCGCAGTTCGTTTTTCCACGGACTCGCTCTATCGCAGTTTTTCAAAGAAAGACTGGAGAAGACAAACAATTGGCTGAATGATGAATCGGTATGGATTTTTTTAATTTAAAATTAATTTTAAAAATTATTTAGTGCCTGCTGCACCTTTGTGCAGCCCACAGCTGTGGGAGAAGCTTCTCCCTGCAACTGATCAGCTGATCGCTGCGCAGAGTGGAGAAGTGAGCAGAGAAGTGGGCGTGGTCGAGTGCGCAGCCGAAGGCAGAGAGCTGAAATCATGACATCCTGTGCTCTTAAAAAAAAACAAAAAAACAACAACTTTGTTTACAATATTCCAATGTGATCAATCACACGCTTCTGCATTTGCTGCCATTTCAGCTACTATTTGTCAGAGTTTTGCATTAGACACCATGTTTACACAGCTTTCATCTGCAGCAGTACGCCATGACCTCAAGGGGTGCATCAGCCATGATGACGCGTTTCCCTGGTTTACAGGATGACTTTTTTTTTTTTTTTTTTTCCCCCAGGAGTCCTGCGGGTCACGGGATTCCCGTAGGATTCAGCAGGACAGGAGTCAACTTTATCATCTCTCACAGGATTGGGATGGGACAGGAGAAAAAGTTAACAGAACCAGACAAGAGCGGGACCCAACAAATAGAACAAAAAAAAAAACTTTTGTAGTTTTCTTTCAATAAGCTTCAGTCTGGAATACCAGACCTACAATTCTCTAGTCTGTAATGTGTTAACACAAAGTAACATAAAAAGGAATGGGTAGAAGATCAAATCAAATTCAAATGTACTTCCTAAAGACTAAATGGAAGAAGAAAACAACAAACAAAAACCAGGAGTGGGAGTCACTCTGACTGGGAACAGGAGTCCCGTTACCAGGAGTGGGACAGGACAGGAGTGAAAACCCACTCCCGTGCCATCCTCCAGTGTAGATATCAGTTTGAAATCATATCTGAATTTTCATCAAACGTTGAATTCTTGGACACATTCAAGTTTTTCTTGAGGATTGCAACAAGCGGACGTTGATCTGTTTCTACAGTGAATGAAGGTGGGCCATAAAACAAACCTCTGCAATCCAAACCCAATCCTAAACGTTCCCTTTCTGATTTGACGCGACGACGCTTTGCTTCCGTCATCCACCTAGAAGCATCGGCAACTGGTTTCCACAGCTCACCTTCAGCTTGCAACGACAGCTCCTGTGCCTTCCTTGGAAACATCACAGAACATCAACACAGGTGCAGTTCTTCCCATTCATGGTCATGTTCTTCTGTCCACTGAAACTCTCTGTGCAGAAGCTGCTGGACGTTCTAGCTGCCAGTAAAGTTCTCCATGATGCGCTGAACTCCAGTCTTCTCTTTAAGGACTTGTCTTCTCCTGACTTGGCTGATTGACTTGTGAAGACAACTTCAAAAGAGAATTTCTTCAACCCCAAAGTGACATTTACTTTTGTTAAGTTTCAGCCCAGGACTAATGTTTTACAAGCCTCTCATTGTGCTCGTGGAGTGGAACCCCAGACTATGATGTCATCACCATAGGAACAGCTGCTCCAAGCCCGACACTCAGATTTTGTAGAATTTGACATTTTTTGAATGGAGTTTGGTGTGAACGGAAGCGTCACGGATGCTAATGCTAAGCTAGCGAACCGAAAACTCACCGATCAAATTGGGAACGAAGAGGAAAATGTTCTCCTGCGCCATGATGCCGGGAGTCTGCGGAGGCTCCCGCTCAGAACCAGGCGTGTTTTCACGGTAGAAGCCCGGTGAACCTGGGACGAACCTGCCCAAGTGCACCAGCAGAACCACTGATTCTTCTTCTTCGTTTTATTGGCGGTTGGCAAACAACTGAAGGAAGCATTACCGCCACCGACTGGTAAGGAGTGTGGACCGCATGACAAAAAAAAAAAAATAAAAATAATAATAATACTAAACCCTCTCTTTCCTTTTAGATCTTATCATACAACCTACACCGTTTTAAATAACAAGATATAGCTTGATAGCCTCTGTTTCCTGAATCTTTCTGCAAAACTGATTCCGTTGGTTCCGAACTTCGACTTTATACCGGAAGTCTATATCCGGAGAGCGCTTTCAGAATAAAAGCAGTGACGGCGAAGGCAGTGAACAGTAGTGATGAGCAAATGAAGCTTTTATGAAGCATTGAACCAGTTGGGCCAATTGTTTCAAAAATAGATTAATTTGTTGAAGCTTCAGTTACAGTGACCTCAGACAAAACATGCTCCACTATCCATCAACAGTGTTGTTGTGGAAAGGGTGAGCAGCACCAAGTTCTTGGGTGTGCACATCTCTGAGGACCTCTCCTGGACCATCAACACAGCAGCAGTGGCCAAAAAGGCTCACCAACGGCTCTACTTCCTCCGCAAGCTGAGAAGAGCGAGAGCCCCCACCCCCATCATGACAACCTTCTACAGGGGGGCCATCGAGAGCATCCTGATGAGCTGCTCCACTGTGTGGTACGGGGCCTGCACAGCATCCTGCCGCAAATCCCTCCAGCGGATCGTGAGGACAGCTGAGAAGATCATTGGCACCTCTCTCCCCTGCCTTCAGGACCTCCACAGCTCTCGCCTCAGAAGTAAAGCCCTCTGCTGGGTGGGAGATCTTGACCACCCGCTACACTGCTTCTTCAACCTGCTGCCATTAGGGCGGAGACTGCGTAGCCTCAGTTCTAGGACCAGCAGACTGTGGAACAGCTCCGTCCATCAGGCCGTGAGGATGCTGAACTCTCTGCCTGCCCCCCCTCAGCCCCCTCTCCCACTTCTGCCACCCTGCACACACTAACTCAGCTTCCTGACCCCCCCCCCCCCCCCCCCCCCCCTTCAAAACTGCTCTGGGACATTTATTTAGTTTTATGAATAGTTCATGAATCGGTCACTTTAACAGCCTACAAGCTCACTCTACTGTTTATTGCATTATATTTTGCACTACTGTTATGATCAACTCGTCCTGTTTATTCTTTATTCTGGTAATTCTGGTATTGTCATTTCCACTTAATCACCTCATCAGTACATAACTGTGACTATATAGAACCGGTATGCACACCTTCACTTTACTAAGTTTCTCAGGTTTATACTTTATATTGCACTATTGTTTACTCTGGCCTTGCACATCCATTATCTACCTCTCATCATGTTATTGTCTTCAGTCAGCGTCCCTTTGTCTCCTGTTAGTCACTATTGAGCACGTTGCATCAGAGGTCCTGCTGCTGTTCACTTTTATATTTTTTTATATTTTTTTTATATAACTAGTTGTGTTAGTTTATTTTTGCTAATGTTGTTGTTTGCTGCAATTTGAGTAGGAGTGTAACGCAATTTCAATTTCTATGTATGTCCTGTACATATGCAGAATTGACAATAAAAATCAATCAATCAATCAATCAAACCTCTTGTGGCATTTTGCAATGCTGCTGTCAAATTAGGCTTTTGGTGTCACACACAGAAGAACTTCAGTGACTAGTGTTAAACTACTTTACTGTGGTAAAAAAAAACAGATTTTTTTAAATTCATCAACTTTCTATGTTGCCTGGTTTGAAAATGTATTTATGCTTAATGTTTCTGAATAAAGATTGATAAATGTGCATTGAAGAGATTTAATAAAAAATGTTGCAATGGCATTGTGCTTGTGTAACTGTGGCAGCGTCAGAGTCTTTATCATTCTTAAAAATAATGAAATGACGTCTCCATCATCTCCATGTTTGGTGCTGAAGTGTCTGATCATAGAGGAGGTATCATGATGCTTCAGTTCAGGTGAACACACCAAACACTGCACCTGCACAAATACACTAATGTAAATAAAAAATAATAATTTGAGCCCATACTGATATATGATTATTAAAATCACATACATCATTTTACTGTAATTATATTAAATACATGGGTTAGATAATATCTTCACTGCTGAACATTACTATAAACCAGCTACCCATCCAGGCTGTCACATTGTAAAGTTTGCAGATGATACAACGGTGGTGGGATGCATCACAAACAATGATGAGTCCAGCTACAGGCAAGAGGTGGAACACCTGGAGAGCTGGTGCAGAGAGAATAACCTTCACATCAATGTGAAGAAGACAAAGGAGATGATTGTGGACTTCAGAAGGAACAAAAACACCTACACCCCCCTGAACATAAGAGGATCTGCGGTGGAAGTGGTCTCCAGCTACAAGTACTTGGGTGTACAAATGAATGACAACCTCAGCTGGAGCAACAACACCACCAGCCTGATCAAGAAAGCTCATCAGAGACTCTACTTCCTCAGACGGCTGAGGCGAGCTGGTCTGGGAAGCTCAGTCCTCACCTCCTTCTACAGGTGTGCAGTGGAGAGCATCCTGTGCTCCAGCATCAACGTGTGGCATGGAGGCTGCACAGCTGCAGAAAGAAAAGCTTTGCAGAGAGTGGTGAAGGCTGCACAGAAATCTGTTGGAATCAGTCTCCCCACCATCACAGACATCTACACCTCCAGATGCAGGAAGAGGGCCACCTGCATCATGAAGGACCCCACCCACCCAGCACACACACTTTTTGCCCCCCTCCCCTCAGGAAGGAGGTTAAGGAGCATTAAGTGTAGAACCACTAGACTGAGGAACAGCTTCTACCCTGAGGCTGTTAGACTCATGAATCTCTAACTAGAATAATCACTGTGAAAAACCATATCATGTTGCTGCTGATCTGTTTCATGTTGCTGCTGATCTGTTTCAATGTTGATGTGTTCATGCGTGCACATCTGCTCACAGACTCATGTTCATGTTTGTGCTGATGTTCAATGTTTTATGTTATGAGTGCTTAGTGTATATTTAGTTGATGTTTTTCTTAGTTCATATCTTAGATGTCATTACTGTTTTTATTATACATTTTATTGTTGGATGTAACTGGGACCCCGTGTACATAATTTCGCTCCACCACATGTACCACATGAGGTGCGAATGACAATAAAGAAACTCTGACTCTGACTTATCATGAGCAGACTGAAGTGTTCCCACATGTTAGAACGACCTCTTTTCCTGGCTGGCTCCATAATTACTCAATTTCAACTAACAGCAGAAACACACCTACTCTCCAACACATTTTAGAGCTGTTTCATAGTGTTGAGCTCTCAATTCAAAACTGTCTCAACCTGTCACCTGTCAGAATCGAGACGAGGCGGTGCCAGGAAATCAGCGGTTTGGACCAAGAACCAGTCAAGTCAAGTCAACCAGTCCTCTCATGACACCTGAGCAGTGACACAGACTGATCGACTCCAAGCTTGTGTTTCATACTACCATCACTAACACCAGGTGCCACACTCTAATGAGCTAATTAACTCAAAACACCTGCAAAGGCCTTTAAATGGTCTCTGTCTAGTTCTGTAGGCTACAATCATGGGGAACACTGCTGACTTAGTTGTCCAAAAGACGACCATTAACACCTTGCACAAGGAGGGCAAGACACAAAAGTTCATTGTTAAAGAGGCTGGCTGTTCACAGAGCTGAGTGCAAACACATTAATAGAGAGGTGAAGGGAAGGAAACAATATGGTAGAAAAAAAAGTGTACAAGCAATAGAGATAACAGCACCCTGGAGAGGATTGTGGAACAAAACTCATTCCAAGAGTGGACTGCAGCTGGAGTCAGTGCTTCAAGAACCACCACGCACAGACGTATGTAAGACATGGGTTTCAGCTGTCACATTCCTTGTGTCAAGCCACTCTTGAACAAGAGACAGCGTCAGAAGCGTCTCGCCTGGGACTGCTGCTGCAGAGTGGTCCAATGTTCTCTGACGAAAGTAAATTTTGCATTTCCTTTGGAAATCAAGGTCCCAGTCTGGAGGAAGAGAGGAGAGGCACAGAATCCAGATTGCTTGAGGTCCAGTGTCAAGTTTGGGGTGCCATGTCATCCGCTGGTGTTGGTCCACTGTTTTCTGAGGTCCAAGGTCGATGCAGCATCTACCAGGAAGTTTTAGAGCACTTCCTGCTTCCTGCTGCTGACCAACTTTATGGAGATGCAGATTTCATTTTCCATCAGGACTTGGCACCTGCACACAGTGCCAAAGCTTCCAGTACCTGGTTTAAAGGATCATGGTATCCCTGTTCTTAACTGACCAGCAAACTCGCCTGACCTTAACCCCAGAGAAAATCTATGGGGTGTTGTGAAGATGATGATGTGATACACCAGACCCAACAGTTCAGAAGAGCTGAAGGCCACTATCAGAGCAACCTGAGCTCTCATGACACCTGAGCAGTGACACAGACTGATGGACTCCATGACACGTTGCATTGCTGCAGTAATCCAGACAAAAGGAGTCCCAGCTACGTACTGATGCTGTACATGCTCATACTTTTCATGTTCATACTTTTCAGTTGGCCAACATTTCTAAAAATTCTTTTTTGATTGGTTTTAAGTAATATTCTAATTTTCAGATACTGAATTTGGGGTTTTCATTAGTTGTCAGTTATAATCATCAAGATTAAAAGAAATAAACATTTGAAAAATATCAGTCCGTGTGTAATGAATGAATATAATATACGTTTCACTTTCTGAATGGAATTACTGAAATAAATCAACTTTTTCATCATGTTCTAATTTGATGAACAGCATCTGTAATGTGCAATCATAAAAAAACAAACTTAAAATCAATAAATACGCAGCCACACTTAAGTTTTTTGCTTTTATTTCCCTAAAAGTATTTAGTTTCTGTACAACTACAACATTTCTTCAAACAACTTTCACAGAACATTTGAAACTTCTTCATCCATCCTCATCCTCACAATCATCCCTGCTGGCCTCAAACACACCGTCAGGACAGTTGACCCGGTCCAAACAACAGATTTAAATGTTTTTAACTGAGTCAAATACATGTTTTAAACCGGGTCAAATACACGTTTTAACAAAATCAAATACATGTTTTAAACTGGGTCAAATATGTTTTAAACTGGGTCAAATACATGTTTTTAACTGGGTCAAATACATGTTTTAAACCGGGTCAAATACACGTTTTTAACAAAATCAAATACATGTTTTAAACTGGGTCAAAAACGTTTTAAACCGGGTCAAATACATGTTTTTAACCGAGTCAAATACATGTTTTAAACCGGGTCAAATACATGTTTTTAACAAAATCAAAT